AAAGTTTAAAGCACCTCAGGTCTCGGGGTGATCAGTGCCACCAATTGAAGGCACCAGATTCTCCTTACCAACTCCTCACCCCCACCCCACCCAAGCAAAAGCAAACACAGCCAGATTGTTTTCTATATCCCCTTTCTCCCTTGCCTGCAACTGCTTCAAGTGCTGTCAAGCCCCATTAGGCACAACGTGGTCCAGACTGATTCAAGATTAAGCCCTTTTTTGGTGAAATCCAATTGAGGACTTTTCTTACCTTGAGGGGGCGGCTGATATTACATTAACTAAGGCTGCCCACACTTTTCCACCCAGAAGCTCCGCAGAAAGAGAGAGGGAGAGGGGGAGAGAGAGGATGAAATTCTTCAGGGGAAACAACTATTGGGGGGGGGAGAGAAGGGGTTTCTGGGGCACCCCCTCCTTAATGCACTGAAGATCAAACCCGCTCCCCACTCCAAAGTCTTGAGCCTTCAAGGAGAGAAAAGAATCCTTCCAGCTGCTCCAGGCTAAACCTACTTTCTCCAGTAAGGGAAAGCGATCAGGATGCTCCAGGGCAAAACATCTGGGAGGTTTTTATTAATACAGTAATTCAATCACGTGGAAAGAAGAGAGACACAGAGGTTTAAAAAGCTCTCTGGTGCCTTGCCTACAGCTTTTCCTCTGGTCCCAAAGGAGAGCCAGGTCTGCGACACTCATCCTGCCCTGCTGGTCCTGTATATGTCTCACCCACCAAGCTCGGCAACCTTTGGGGCATGGGACATCTATCTTGGTTGAGTGTCGTCTTCTGCTAAGAGAATTAACCTGTCTGCTGGTGAGTTTTCATAAGACCTCTGTTATAGCAGGGGTTGGTTTTGTGGGGGTGGAGTGGGTTAAGTTTTGTGGGGTTTTGAAGAAGCAAGGTGTGACCTCTGTCTCTATACACAACAATATTGTCTATTTTATGTAGTAGGGAGGAGTGGGTCTGGTGTTTTCAGTTTCTCTTTCTTTCTCATTTTTCCAAGCTGAAATTCAATTTTCCACATTGCTACATAAGGTTGTGGGTTTTTTTGTTTTTTGTTTATGTCTTCATGAAAATTTACCTGCTAATTTCTCCCATTTTGTGTATGCCATTTTTGCCAAATACTTTTGCAAAACAATGTTCCCGGCTGTGATGCATTTTTGTATGTTATTGTCATTAATATATGCTCTCACTCTCTCTTTTGCACATTTTACCCTAATATATACATTTTGTACACATTACTTGGATGGAGAACTGCATTGCAAAATTCAGAGAAGTGCATATTTCAAACGCTGCCTGCGTTTTTGGTTCTCATACTGTTTTGGAAAGCACCAATTTGATGTGCCTTTAAATGTGAACTGAACTGAATTTCTGCTCCATCTCCATCTACAGTGTGCAGATGTGTGTCCCGATGTGCACAGCATCATCATGGCAGACCGTGTGTCAGTCTGCTGCACTGCCTGTGCACAAATATGATTCTTCCATGTACAAGGTGTGAAATTTGTCTCAACAATGGGCCTGGCAAAACCTTAACAGTGTATATCTGAAGCACAGTGGTTGTGTTTGGGGTTCTCTCTTGTGTGTCTGTGTGGAGGCATGTTAGTGTGAACAGTTCCTCTGCAATAGCTTTGGCTAACCCTGGTTCTGTTTACACTGTAATTGTAGGTAAATCCTGAGAACCCACATTTATCTCCCATTTCATGCATATGCATTCTAGGAACTATGCAGAACGGGAGTGGGGAATCTTTGGTCCTCCAGATGTTGCCAAACTTCAAGTTTGAAATCCCATTGATTTTCATGAGAGGGAAAAACATGTACTTAACATTCTTCTTCTGCTGAAATCAGTGAAGTAAAAAAACACCACACACCAAAAACTCTTGATTTGGGCTAGATTGCCCCAGGGCATGAGATGTGTCACTGTTGCCCACTGCCTTGAAGGCGCACAGATTGGTTAGGCAGGTGTTATTTTTTAAATCCATTATTGACACTGATTTCCCTACCCTTTGTTGTTTCCTACTCTCTGATTCAAAGCTGAATTTGACTTGTTTTTATTCTTTACCCTTCACTCAAATTAAGTGGAACAAGGGCAAACATTTTATAGCACAAATTGGACCACTATTGGATTGCGGTTTGAGCTTGAGAATGTGTGTGTGTGAAAGAGAGACAGACAGACAGACAGATGTCTGCTAAAAACACGGGAATAGCTCAAGAACTATGTTGGATGAAGACTATGAAGGGATGGATCAGGGAGAGGAATTCACTTCAGATCTCATTTAAAAATGTAGATAACTTCTGAAAGCAATATGCGAACCAAAATGCAGCTTTCTTTTAGACTTCACTCTTCGCCATATTTTGGGAGGAGGTGTGAAAATGCATGTACTGGGGAAAAGTGTGCGTAAAAATGCACATATTGCTGAAAATAACACATGAAGATGCATCATACTAGGGGAAATTACTTGCCAAATATTCCATTAGGCAAGATTGCAATCCAAAAAAAAATGTATATAGTAGGAGAAAGTTGAACTAAACTGCTGATGGGTTTTCATTAGGACTTTTTGTTTTTGTTTTTTTAAAGCAAATTGATGTGGAAATGTGGAGAACTGAACTGAAGGTTTGAAAAATGAGACACTAAGAGAAACTGAAATCAACATATTTGCCCATTCATACCGATATGACATAACTATTCCAGTAGGAATTATAGACACCCTCTGGACTATGTTTTGATTTTGTTGTTTGGGGAGGGGTAGTACTTCTGGTGGAGGACATGTTGTGCTCCTTCTGGGGTAGTTTGTCCAACTTTGGTCACCGCATTGCATTCTGCTCTCACCTGTGCCTCCTAAAAGCTGTCAGCATGGGAGAGTGGCCACACCCCAAGAATGGCTTTGACTAGCTGGCAAAATCAGGTGAGGGTAGCCAATTGGTCTCAAAACACTTGGCGAGACAGGGACTTCCCCTGCATGCAAAGTGGGTTGAGTGGATGAGACCAATAATGGGTTCAGTGGTCAAGAAGACCGTTTCTGAATGTGCTGTAGAGGGAAGTGAGGGGCAGATGAGGCTCATTAATCTAGGAAGGTAGCCCATCTAGGAGAAAGGAAACTCTGATCCTAAACCTCCGCTGCCTTGTGGGATATCTTCAGGAGAAGAAAATGCTAAGGAGTAAACCCTACACAAATCCAGAGTGGAATCCTTAAGACTGTTGGATGGCACCTTGCATGCCTCTGTCCAGCAACCCCTGCAGCCAAGCTGGTGCCAAATGTATTGCTCTGCTTTCCTTTGGACCACATCAGTGAGACAGAGAGCCAGGTATTGTCGTCTGAGCAGCCCAGGACCTCCATACTCACTGCCCATGCTTGCCCCCTGGGTAGTTCACTTAAGTCAGGGGTCGGCAAGGTTTACCTCGCAAGGGTCGGTTCACTCCAGCAGAGACCCCTCTGTGGGCCAGATTGTGCGCATGTGTGAGCAAGCGTGCCCATGATTTCCAGCATCTGCGCAGGCGCAATTTCCAGCACCGTGGAAGTGAGTTACCGCACTGAGCCACACCAGTTTAGTGCAGTGTGCGAGGACTCGCCGAGTGGGTGGCTTGGTTCGGGGACGGCTCGTGGGCCACTTAAATGACCCCCGTGGGCCCACTTGTGGCCCATGGGCCTTAGGTTGCCTACCCCTGACTTAAGTGCTGCTAATGCAGCGGTTTGACTTAATCCACAGAGGTGCACTCCATTGTCTCTCGAGACAGACAGATGCCAACAACGGTTACTATGTTTGCTTTGTGTGTGTGTAAGCTGCCCTGAGAATATTTTTCTTTTTATTTTTGCAATTGAAGGGCAGAATAAACATTTTTAAAGTAACTACAGGCAAACAAATAAACACACAAGGATGGCCCTATCCCAAGTCTGGCAGTGTTGCATTGTAACTGTGATTCTTGGGAACAGCAATGCTGATTTCTGATTTCTCTCCATAGAGATGCCTCCTTTCTTCCACAATTTCCTAACAGTGCCGTTACTTGAGGATAGAGCATTTGCTCCAAAGGAAGCAAATGGAGCAGCGATTCTGAAATAGTAATTATCATAATTATTTATTGATTTTATTGGTCACTTTTTAAAAAGTAACTCAAAAGCAACTTACAAAAATAGCACATACCATAAAACTAAAACAAAGTAAAAGCTAAAGACACTTTCAAATTTATGAAAAGGCAGGACAAAAACATCCCACTCCCTGAAGGAAGCCACAGGTAATTTAAAACCAAAGACCTGGCAAAAAAGAAGCACCCAAGGACAGGTAATGAAGGTGACAGGTGGGCTTCCTTGGGGAGAATAATCCATCCCTAGTTCTTCTGCAACAGTGGTGGAAACCTGTGGCCTTTTCAGGCATAGATGCCAACTCCCTGGGTCCCTGGGTGCCCAAGCACCTACAAAATTCCCCATGAAGGGGCCAAGCACCCACAAATTTGGGGGCCAGGACCATGGCACCCACAGCCCTGGGCACCCATGGTCACGGGGCGAAGTTGGCACTCCTGCTTCCAAGTGTTGCTGAATGTCAACTACTATCCTGACCATTGACCATGCTGGCTGGGGCTGATGGGAGTTGGAGTCCAACCACAGCTGGAGGCCTGCAGGTGCCCCATCCCTGATCTAGAAGAAGTGTGCAGAAGTGTGTGGGCTGGGACTGGGAGGCAACGAGATATCCCTGAGCAACGGGGGGGGGGGATCTCGTCTGAAGGCAAGAGTAGGCAGTCCGAATTGTGTCTATTAATCGATGTCCACGATTCTAGAATCCACGCTGAACATTCTATCTGCGTGCCTAAAGAATCTCTCTCTCTGGCACTTAGCTTAGGTGAGCAATATGAGCAACATCCCTTCCCCCCTCTCCGCCTCGACGTGCGACTGTGCGCCTTGGGTAAAGCGGTGAGTCCCCAATTGAGGGTGGGAAGCTAACAGAGGCGGGAGAGTTACTCTGAATCCCAGGAGTACGGTTGCCTTGTGCCCTTCCGTGGCCACCTGCTTGGTGCGGAGCAGGGATGGGCGACAAGGAGGGTCCGCTCCGCTGGCGGGAAGAAGAAGGCGCAGACGGTGCACGGCGGCGGCGCCTGGAATCAGGGGCCGGTTTAGTTTGGCCCCCGAGGTGGAGGAGGCGAGCTAGGGTTTTGCTAGGGGAAGGGTGTCAGGAAAGCGAATCGCTGCTTTTTCCATTTTTCCTCACACACCCGCCTCATTTGCATGCCCTCCTCCCTCACCGCCTCCTTTCTCCGAGGCGCGTTTTTGCGCTGCGCTCTTGGAGAGCCCTCGCCAAGAGCGCCCTTGCGCGCTCCGGGGGAGAAGACGAAGGGGGCGCTTCCGTTCGCTCCCACTTCTCGCCAGTCTGCCTCGCCTCCCACTCGCGCTTCGCCCCTCCGCTCTCCCACGCTGAGCTTCTCTTTCTCTCTCGGTGTGTGTGTGTCTTTCCCCCTCCCTCTTTCTCTCTCCTCTTGGACGTCTCAAGGCGACAATGACCAAGTCCCTGAGCCAGCCCGAGCAGAGGGACTCGGCGGTGGCGCCCTTGCGGGACTGCTCTGACCCGCCGCTCCAAAAGAAGGACGTGGAGCTACTCCTGGTGAAAGAGCAGAACGGCGTACAGTACACCAGCAGCAACCTTCTGGAGACCCGCAGCCCGCGCTACAGTCCCACCGCCGCGGAGCCAGAGCGGGAGACGTGGGGCAAGAAGATCGACTTCCTCCTCTCGGTCATCGGGTTCTCGGTGGATCTGGCCAACGTGTGGAGATTTCCCTATCTCTGCTATAAAAACGGAGGAGGTAAGAGAAGTCTCTCCTCTCTCTCTCTCAATCTCTCTCTTGTACACATACGATCTTCTCTTCTGCATCTTTGTGTTTCTCCATAGCATAACCGATCCGACTAGCCTGTGGAAGTTTTACGCGAATGGTTAGGAATGGTTTGGAAGCCAGGGAGTGGAAGGCAGGTTCTTGTCCCACTGTGCCCTCCCTCGATGCACACGAAGGCCCTTAGCAAGTCGCATGCTCCCACCCTCAGTTCCTACCAGGAGAAGGGAAATAGCAGGGATCTACCTCCTAGGGTTGTTATGAGGGTGGCCGTAGTAAAGAACACGGGGGCACCCTGATCTGAAACACGGTTGCTTACTTAGAGTTCATTTATTTGCTTATCCTTCACTCCTCTTCCTTTCCCTTCTTCCAAACAGTGTCAAGGAAGTAAACACCACCACCTCCTCTTTTTTAAAAAAAAAAATTATATTGAGTGACAGGGTTGGCTTGGGATCTTCTAGAACTTCACTGGATGAGTAGAAATTTGAATCCAGCACATCATGCTCCTTGTACTACTGCTAACTGTGCATTTTATACTGTATTCTAACTTCTATTTTAATCAACTGTTTTTGTGTGTGTGTTTTAATGTTTTTACTGTATTTATATTCAGTGTTAGCTGCCTTGAGCCCGGTCTTGGCCGGGGAAGGTGGGGTATAAATAAAAAAATATTATTATTTATTATAGGATCTAACCTTGACAGTCCCAGCTGATGCACGTTTTACTTGAAAGGTGCAAGGGGTTACGGCTTGAAAGTGTCATCCTATGCATGTTTACTCAGAAGTGAGACCCGCTAAGTTCAATGAAGCTCAGCAACATAGTAGTGATTCCCACTGAGTCTTACCCCACTGATAAGTGTGTTAAGGACTACAGTTTGTGTTTAGGATTGCAGTATGAAACTCTTTGCAGATTAAAGGGGAGTGTAGTGGGAGCAGTTGGTGGAAAGGGCAAGCTGTTTTAAGCACTTCTGTATTCCTTGACTATGAAAGAGGGAGAGAGCTGAGTTACAAACTGACTATGATGAACATTTCTATACAGATCCAGGACTTCAAAATTTCCCAGCATCTTGGGGCTGATTCATTCCCTGCACTCTAGTCAGTGTCTCATTGCCTGATGACTCTGAATGGGTGATCTGCTGTGCTTTCAAAGAGAATTGTGTCTTTTGGGTCATGAAACAAGTACTCAGATTGCTTTTGATGATTGTTATATTAATGATTACATTTTTATCCCTTTCTTCCTCCAAGGAGCTCAATACAGTGTAGAGAGGTCTCTTCTCCACCCCTTCCTTTGTTCACACAACAACCCTGTGAGGTGGGTTAGGCTGAGTGAGTGATCAGCCCAAGCTCAACCAGTATCTTAAGTAGGATTTGAACCCAGATCCACTACTTTTGCATAGCCATCACTTGGGGTGCAACAATCCTCTAGTGATTGATGTGGTAGATCTATCCTAAAGAAAATACAGAAAGGCTGCTAAATCAGAACTTTGTTTTTTGTGAAATAGATGTGCACCAATCCACCCACCGTGGCTGTCCCAGAGAAGCTTGACTTATTTTGAGAGTGGATCAAATCCAGTCGCCCAGTGATCAGTGTAGGGCTGTGTACAGAACCCCCCATCCCTGTGAAATTACTACCCCAGGGACTCCTAAACTGTGGTCTTCCAATCACCAGTGGTGCACAAGCTTCATGCATGTGGCCTGTAGTGTGTCTCTAAAAAAACAATTGCTATTTGAATTCTATAGAATTCTATTGGATTTGGATTGCAATGCAATCCAATACTACATAGAAGATAAACAGGGAATAGAAATGCAAATTAAAATCTAATACAGGGCATTGCAATTGCTACAACAGGTAGAATAGATATATATATTCCAAGTGGTCTGCCAAGACCCTCGACAATTTGCAGGTGGTCTGATGTGTGTATGTGCAGATTTGGGAAGTTTGGCCTATCCAAACTTTTCCGCCTTGCTGTATTTAAATTTGGATGAACTTCTTGTGATTTCCAAGCTTCTCTGACACGCAAAGGGGTTTGCTGGATCACATCAAGGACCCATCTAGCCCACCCTCCTCCTTCCCACGTCAGTCCCCTGCTGGGCACTCTCAGCAATTGGTGTTCAGTAGATGCTGCCTCTTAATTCCAATTAGCCATCAGGGCTAATAGTTGTGGCTCACCCAACAGCTCATGCACCCATTTGTTCACCACTGCTGAACCAGCCCTGTAATTTAAGATTCCTTTTGCATGGCTTTGTATCTGTGGCTGCATACACACCATACATGGGAAACACATCTGCCAGCCTCCTGGCTAATAATCCTGGGAACTGTAGTTTGCCCCTCACAGAGCTACACTTCACAGCATCCCTTAAGAAACCATAGTTCTCAGGGGGTTTTTTGGTGACGTTTTTCTTGTGGGGTGCTTTAAATGTGTTGTGTGTGTGTGCAGTTTGTGTCAGGGACATGCCCTCCCTGCTGCCATTCCACTTGAACAAGAACTCCCCTTTGGTGCAGAAACTGCAGGGAACCATGAGGACTAGGCAGTTGTGCAGAGTTGCATGATTTGGCAGCTGTGCAAATTTGTCACAGCACAACCAGGTGCAGAGCAATGAATTAGGACAGTTCAGATTTCATCTGGTCAACAGATAAAAGGGATAAAGGCAGGGCCGGATTTAGGTTTCATGAGGCCCTAAGCTACTGAAGGCAATGGGCCCTTTATATGTCCAGCTGTCCTTTGTCAACAACAAATTGTCGCTTTTTTGTGTTGAATATATGCTATATGGTAATTTATGGACCTAATAGGTATCAAAAACCATTTGCACATTACAAAATATGTATTTTATCAAAGTAATTGTTGAACTGAAAAACAATTAAGAAGAAGTATATTAATAGTGAAATAATTACTAAGCTCTAACTTAAAATGATTTTTTTATTCATAACAAACTTAATAATGCAAACACATTGGCATTTGGCAATAACAAAAGTTCCTTTAGAAACACAGTTTACAAAGACTCATAATGAACAAACCAGGGATATTTTAGGGAGCCAGGCTAGCAGACGGGGCCCATTACTTACATCATAGGAGCCTACACAACACAAAACACTGTTGCTGTATGTAGGTTTTATTTTATTTCTTTTTTATCTTATATTTTGGAAATATGCATCCAGTTTTTTTCTTTAAATTTTTTTTATAAGCTTGTTTAGCTTATTCAGTGGTACCTCAGGTTAAGTACTTAATTCGTTCCGGAAGTCCATACTTAACCTGAAACTGTTCTTAACCTGAAGCACCACTTTAGCTAATGGGGCCTCCTGCTGCTGCTGTGCTGCTGAAGCACAATTTCTGTTTTCATCCTGAAGCAAAGTTCTTAACCTGAAGCACTATTTCTGGGTTAGCGGAGTCTGTAACCTGAAGCGTATGTAACCTGAAGCGTATGTAACCCGAGGTACCACTGTACGCAAATCTGGCACTGTATAAAGGTGCTTCTCCTTAAGGAGAGGGGCTGTTGCTCAGTGGTAGAGCATCTGCCTTGTATTCCAAAGGTCCCAGGTTCAGTCCACAACATTTCCAGGTAGGGCTGGGTATGTGCCTTGTCTGAAGCCCCGGAGAACTGCTGCCAGTCAGAGTAGGTGATGCTCAGCAAGATAGTTCAAGGGACTGGTTTATATAAGGCTGTGTACACACAGGAGGCCCAGTCCTTCTAGTGTCTGTCTACTTGGACTTGCTTTTGACAACAAGATGCCTTCTGCATGCTTGCTGGAGTAACTCCATCTTTGGGAATCTGCCAGTTCCATGCTGGAGGAACAGAGAGCATGGCAAACAGATGGAGAACTCTTGGCAAGACTGGGGTAGATGTTTGGCTACAAGGGAACCAGCAACAGAAGACACAGCTATGCTATGATGCCTGGACCACTTGGTTGCCAGATTATAAAACAGTAGCTAAACATACTTCTTGCTTTTCAATAAATGATTTTTATTGAGTTTTAGTCAACATGCAATAAACACAGAGCAATATAGGCAAAGTACGTTAGAGGAATGTCTGCAACAGGATTTGGAGTGGTATTGCAAATGTTCATAGCACAGAATATCTGTAGCCGTGTGCGGTGATTCAGAGTGGACCAATATAAGCGGAAGTTCTCAAGCAGAAGGTAGACTTTTTAGATATGCCCTCCACAATGTAAGCTGACTCACTGAAAGCTGCAGCGGAAAATAGAACTCAAAGGGGATAGGTGAATGTGCATTCCCCATAGCTTGGTGGGAGAGCATCTGCTTTGCATGCAGAAGGTCCCAGGTTCAATCCCCAGTATCTCTGAGTAGGGCTTAGAAATGCTAGCTGGACCTAATGGAGCTAGATGAGTCAATGAACTAAATGGGCCTGCTTCTGCAAACCTTTACAATAATGTTTTTTACAGTGAGTTTTGATAGGTATAAATTAGAATTGCAAGGGATGGAACTAGCCTCCTAGAGCTTATGTTTTAGGGCCCAGAAAACAGTTTCCAGTCAGAAAACTTGCTTTGTTCAAGTTTACTTACACTTGCTTATGTTTCTGGTTACAAATGCAACATAATGTTCACATTCTGAAACTGAAGAGTGTTTGGCAAATTTGTCATGTGCCATTCATACAAGGAGGACATCACTTGCTTGCCCTGCGTATGATTCCTGTGCATTTGATATCTGATGGCTGAACTTGTGAACTGACTTGGCTGAAAAGCTTTGCGTTTGAGATCATGGGGTGATAGGAACTTTCGATTTGTTCTTTTCTTTCTTTCTTTCTTTCTTTCTTTCTTTCTTTCTTTCTTTCTTTCTTTCTTTCTCTCTCTCTCTCTCACACACACATGTACCACATAACTTTATGTAACCATTGACAGGTGATGGACACCCATATCTGAACCAGTTATATGTGGGTCACCAGAACCCTCAGGCTATAATCTTGTCCACATATTACACTCAATGCATGAGCAGTCTGTGTACCTCTGCACAAAATAGTTGATCT